AGTTGGGTATTACCAACTTATGGCTTTTGGCTTTTAGCTTAAAAGCTACTTCTTATAAGCCAATCAAAACACCCTTTAAATAATAATTTTGGTGAAATTAGTAGGTAGTTAACACAAGTCTCTATGTGTTTGACACTCTTCTTATCATTATATTACTTGTACGACCATGTATACTTGCGTGTGCGTTTGGAGCAACAAGTTTTGCTCCCAAACCCACACGTAGGTATATGTGGTCGTACAAGCAATATAGGATTGTAAGTCAAGATATCTTACCCACAAGAACTTGTGATTAACTATTTAATAAATTAAACTAAGACAATTAATCTATTCAAGCTATATTCTAAAGTATGAATATGTAACTAAAACTAATATAGAGTAGCAAACTAAGCGATTACGGAAGAAAAGTCGCCAATCTTAGATATAAATTCAGTGGGAGAAAATATTCCAGAGCTCTGCGGACCCTTTCTCTCAATAGAAACTAGAAAAGATGCATAGTGTGATAAGTCTGTAAATCTCATAGCATACTGGGTCACAATCATACACTCTTGGCACAAATGCTCAAGCTCACTGTACAACTTATCACAGGACAACTCATCCCTCCTCTCCACCACCCTCTCTAAAACATTCATAGTGTGACTCGGCAGCTTGATATCCCTATAGTTATTGCAACTCCGAACATCACCTTTATTCTTGTACACTAGGACGATCAAGCTCCACTTCTATTCATTGGGCATCTTCTGCGTCCTAAAAAAGACATTAAACAATCTAGTAAGCAACCCAAGCCTGCCCGACCTGCTTCCTTCTAAATTTCCCCCGGAATCCCGTCCGGCCCAGTCGCTTTACCCCTTATCACCTTTCGCATCACCCCGTCAACCTCCTCAACCTTAAAGCGCCTACAAAAACAAAAATCTCGTTGGCTCTGAGTTTCCAACTCACCAAGCACGATGTTCATGTACCCATCCTCGTTCAAAAGATTATGGAAATATGTCTGCCACCTAAGTTTAATACATGCCTCATCCACCAATATCTTACCTTCCTCGTCTTTCTAAAATATAAATAAAATAAAATTGAATAATAACAGTAAGAAAGTAAATGAAAATATAAGATGTAGCGAGGGCAAAGAGAAATTCTTATCGAAATTGCTTCTTCTTGAAGATCTCACTTTTCTTAGTAACAATTCAGTATAACATTAGAAGGTGTTCTCGAGTACTTCCCATGGGATATAAAGTGAGAGAAGTGGGGGTTTCAATCATAAGATTTCCATTAACCGTCCCCTTAATATCTCACTTATCCGCTGCCACCATTACTCGCTTTTTCAGCACGTTATGCCTAGATGATCGGTAACCGCTCTGCAAGTAATGCAACATCTCTTCTTATCTGGAATTGACCGATTCTTTTTCTTTATTCGTACACGTGAGACTTTACGAAAAATTTTCTTTGTTGACTCCTTAGTAGCCCCATATGAACAATTTCGATATCAAAGATCTCGGCTCAATTGATCTCGACCCATTCTTTAAATGACCTAAAGACCCTCCGATCCATCGATTGTTTCCGTAGACTCAATTTGGATCACCAGCTATGTGTCATCAGTTGATTTGGCCATGTGATATGTCCACTTTTTTTACCAATACACCAAGCAAGTTCGAAAAGTATTTGTTGTGTTTACACAAAATTAATAAATGGATTCCATGTGTTTTTTTAGTATATCTATACTATATTAAAAGCACGAAGGCCCTTAGCGAAATGTCGTTCGTCTTTTTATCCTTTTAAAGTATAATACACGGTGGATAAAATAGTCATTTGATTTTTCCCTAATATTTAGAAATAGTCATTTATTATAATTTTAGGAATTTGAAATCAATTAAATTTTGATTATCATTCTTTATTTGAACTCCGTAGGAAACCCTAATAATTAGAAGTTTATATTCAACTCAATTTGCCGTCTAACAAGAAAGCATGGGAGAAGGGTTTGTGAGAACTAGGGTATGCGGATCAATTGTACAACAAAACTTCCTATATTTCTAATTTATTGGAAAAGGTATGAATTCTGCCATGATAAATTTTCAAATCAATCAACTTCATATTATAGATCTTTAACAGTTTTACACTCTGTTTTTTTATAGTATTTGTTTGTTACATGTCTTTTAACTTTATTGACTTCATAATTTCTCTCAGATTTCTAGGCACTCAACACTAAAGCAAATATTTCCCATATTTACATTCATTAATGGGTCAAGAATGTAGGAACGACAAGTTGATTGAGAAACACCAATCTGAAACTTCTTTTAAGATATCAGAGAATCACAAGCCACAAAGTAACAACTTTGGGATGCATGCGTGTATTGCAGTAACGCCAAGGCAGAGTCAAGATTTATAGCTTATGAGTTCACTCTAATCTTTTTAAGTTACTAGGTTCTAAACTAATAACTTTTTTAAGATAAATATAGAGTTTGAACCAACGCTTTTGGATTCGGCCGAATCCGTGTGTGACATGCTGGCTCCACACCAGAGTGACGCTAGCAATATGAGGAGCTTGAAACAGTTCTCATCCAAAGCAGTTTGAACATGCACAAAAAGGGTTTAAGACTTTGTCCGCACTATTTTTCATGTTTTTTTACATACTGTCAGCGACGACGTTAATACAAGTTAATAAATTGTGCTACTTTGTCAGACTTCTAAAGCAAATATTAAAACCATTTATAGAGGCAAATTTAGGATTTAAAATTTATGGGTTCCTACCGTAATTTCAAGTTAATATACAATAGTTCACAATTAGATGTTTATAAATATTTAAATGATTTCTTAACAGAAATACAGTGCCTATGCAAAAAGTAACAACACTCTAGATTCGCCACATATATGACGAAATTATAACAAGGCATCCACAGACTTGGGCAAAACTTACTTCTTTTATTTATTTAATTAGCTGAATCGGATCAATTTTCATCAATATAAACAACTTATACTCTTTTTTAATTTTGACTTTAGAACTCAAACATATTTTAAATTATATTTATGTGATTATTTAAATTNCCCTATTTTCATTTCTGTTTCGACTCCTTCCTCGTTCTTCTCCGTTTCTTTTGTTGTTTTTCATCACTGTCCCCTCCTTTCTCGTCTCTTGTTTATCTGTTTGTCTCTTACTGTTCTGAAAGTGTCTTTAAGATGGAGTCGTGTTAGTATAATGATTAGCATCGATTTAGGATCATCATTGTTAATTTTAGTATCCAGATTTCTCTGAACTTTGTGTGCTTGATTTGAGTTTTCATGATTAATCTGAGTTTCGCTATACTGTAATGGGTGTTAAATTAATTCAATATTGTTTTAGTTGGGTTGGTTCATCAGGCTCTCTTTTCATTATTGTTTGCTCGTTTGGGTTTTTGTGTAAAGGTTTTGGGTCATAATGGTGGGAGTTTCGAAATAGGGTAAGATATTGAGCCTTTGATTTGCTTAGCTCCGCAACAGCTTTAGGGCTCTATTTGTTTGGTTTGGGCTGGCCCATATAGATGGTGGTTTTCTGGAGTAAATTTCAGGGGATTAGGTGGGTGTTTTAGGAATTTTATTGGAGAGAATCTTTGGTAACAGATATAGAAGCTTCTAGTGGGGGGTTTTAGGAGAATTGCATGCTTTTAGTTGTTTAACTTGGGTAGAAAGTCAGAAATCTAGGGGCACTTAGGCTAAAATAAAAGTTCAATAGGGGTATGGGGGTAAAAACTGATTCTGAGGGTTGCCCTATGGCTTGGCCTATAAAGGCATATCATTCTTGCCTTTCAAGGCAAGAATTGAAGGGCTGAAAATCCAAAAAATAAAATAATACACAGCTTACACATTCTGAAATCTGAGAAAAATTGAGGAGCTAAGAAATCCTGAAAATCAAAAAAAAAAACCCAAGACTGAAAAATAAGCTAGAAAATCAACTGTTCCATTGGTCATCATTCTGATTTTTTGTAATTCCAATTTGTCAAGGCAGTCTTAGGTTCAGCGGTGTGAAAAATAGCTCGAATTTTTCTTCTTTAAAATCTGGGTTGAGTTTTGAGTTAAGGTTCCTGTTTCATTGGTGTTTGAGTTGATTTCAAGGGTTANTTCATTCACATGTTTTAGTAATATCTTAATTTAAATTATAAAAATATATTATATTATTATCTCAACATAATAAATTCTCACATCAACATCAACTTCTACTAACCTAAAATTACACGGTGACAATTAATATATATACATACATGATACTTTATTAACAACCAATATATTCTAACTTTTGGGAGTTACTAACTTATAAAACTGTTGGATCGTAATTTGCTTGTTACCTCAATTTTAACCACACAATTAAAGTCACATTATTTTTAACAATTTAAATGATATATTTGGGATATAGTTAAGATTAATATATTATATTAAATAAATGTTAACCTACTTTAAATATTTTTCTTCCACGATGCACATGTACAAAAAGAAGATGAGTTCTTACATGTAATTCTTAATTAAATGAATCTTACCTTATGATTTTACGATCCACTTTATTTTGTACAAATAGCAATCCCAAATAGTGCAATTATATCCATTTATGTGTTTACCCTATCCAAATCTATTTCATTCTAATTGACACACACACACACACACACACACACATAATATATATATTCGATCCCATCGGTTGCTCGATCAATTGGCTTATACAATTTGAGAGAACATAAATATTAACAACGCGCTAAAAAGTCATTGTCCATACCCGAGCCATTAGAGAAGAATCTATCCACCCTTATTATATATTTTAGTATAGCAACTGCTAGCACTAATAGAAAAATAAATAAAAAAACAAAAAAGATGTATGTGACAATTTTCCACAAACTCTTTAAGATTGTCAAGTGACTTTATAGTAGCTTGTCACTTGGCTTAACCACAATGCAAACTTTCTTGCTTTATTATATATATATATATATATATATATATATATATATATATATATATATATATATATATATACCGCAAGTCCTTAGCTTGAAACGAAAAAATAAATAAATAAATAAAATAAAACAAAAGTAGAAGGAAAAAGAATCTAAGAAAGTATCCGAAAATCCCTAACTTATATAATCCTTGTCCTCTTGTTTTTTTCTGTCTTTTGTGCTGTAACCCCAAGCTCTCAATTCTGTGTTTTCTGCTCATTTAATTTATTTCTATTGATAATTTACAAAATCTGGGTTTCATGGATCAGTCCATTCCTGAAAAGTCCCTGTAATTTATTGGGCATTTTGGTATTGGTTAGATTTGTGAAATCAAGAAATTTGAAGTTTTGTTCTGGTTGGATGAGCATGAATCAAAATTAATTAAAATTAAAGTGTGAAGATCAAGGTAATGGCTGCACCAAGGAGTATAGTGGTGGAGACGGGTCGGTTTGATGAAGAGAAGAGGGTGGATATGTCGTCTGTTGCAGCTGAATTGGATTCGCCGACAGGAAAGAGGTACAAGGAAGGGAAGTTTCCATTGTCAAGGTGGGAATTTGGAGCAGCTTTTGCTGTTATTTTGGTGTTCTCAACAGGCTTTCTTTGCATTTACTTGTCAATGCCAGCTCCTGAGTATGCTCAACTTAAGCTGCCTCGTACCATCTCTGATCTCCGCATTCTCAAGTAGGCTCACTTTTCACTATTATTTGTCTCTCTGCTTAACCTATTCCCTCAGGTATTGTGTTTGCAAATTATGGGTTGAAGTTGACGGAATTGATTTATTTTACTTGTCAAATCAAATGGGAATTTTTCTGTGTAGCTATTACTCCCTTGTAGCTTAACTCGATACGGAGTTTAAGAAATAAAGGTAGATTTTTCAAACTTGTGGTTTTATCTAAGATTTTTGTGACTATAATAGCTTTCATTGAAGGTAAAATGAAATTTAAATTATTCTCAAATATAGAAACGTGTCTTTCTTTTAGCAACACATCAATAAGAAAAAATAGTGTCAAATAAAATGAAACAAAAGGAGTATTGTTTGGTATTCGAGAGAAAATTCTATTCATACTTCAAGTGATTTTATTGTAAATATGCCTAGTCTGCAAGTTAGTGGTTCTTTTAATCGACTTTATAACTTCTTCAAGGAAATGTATAGTCATTTGAAAGTTACGATAGAGGTTCAGATAGTCTGTGAATCGGAGATTGAACTTTTTACTAGTTGTAACTTCTCAGGAGAGCACTAACTGTTTGCAATGATAGTAGACTGGCTCTAAAGTTGTATGGCGAATATCCATGCATTTTTTAGGCCTCAAATGTTTCTGAGTTTTTGTTGGTTGTTCCTATTTGTATTGGGAAGTGGTTCTCGTCGATCTCACGAAAATCTCGTTTCAATATTTGTACCCTCTCTGTGATTACTGGATGGATTATGAGTTTCTCATTCACCTTAGATTCACCTCTCTTAATACTTTGCGGAGGGTTGTGGCTTCATCTTTGATTCAGACTCTTGTGAGCCTAGATTCACCCTGCCCCCCTCAATAAGTGATGATAGTAATTTAAACAGAAGAAAGTAGGGGGAGGCAATATATTACCCCTTTTTTTCTGTTTAAGATGTTTAGAATAGCACGTTTTTCGTTTACAACAACAACAAACCCAGTGTAATACCACAAGTGGGGTGTGGGTAGGGTAGGGTAGTGTATGCGCAGACCTTACCCTACCTTCAAGAAGGCAGACCTTATCCCATCATTTCGTGTCAAAGCTTGGACTCATCAGAAAATATTCTGGAGAAGAGGAGATCACTCTTTAGTTTTCTGATGAAAATATATGAGGCAAGAAATATAAGCAAGTAATATTAAGAAAATCAAACAGGCTAGATACATGTTGACCCTCAAACTTTCGGTTTGGCTCTGAGAATAACTATAATATTTGCCAGGTTGAGTACCAAGTAGAGAAAGTACGCATCGCCCCCAAGGCTTTACTCGTGGTAAAAGCACAACGCATGATGTGTGCATTAGGTGCACATCACATCATGGTTGAAACCCTACTTCAGACAAAAACCTTAGTATTTTAGTGGAGAATGGTTATCCACCGGGTTTCAAACCTTGCACCACTGTGGATTACTCTGTTATCCAGAAAGAAAAAAAAAGTAAGTTAGAGTCTAATAGTAGCAGTCTTTCTTACTAGTGGCTATCCCTATTTCTTCATCATCGCCTGCTTGTGCTGTTGCTCAATGATTGAAAACTTTCATGTAATTTCTTTTAATGGTGTTTTCTTTTCTAAATTTTTGTAAAAGTATTTTGATACGACACTAGATCTCTTGATCCTTTTTATCTTTCATGGGCCGAGGGTCTACCGGAAATAGCCTCTCTACCTTCTAAAGGTAGGCGTAAGGTCTGCGTATATACTAACCCCCCCCCCCCCTCTCCCCCCAAACCCCACATGTGTGATTACACCGGGTTTGTTATTGCTGTTGTTGTTGACACTGGAACTCTTGCTTTGCGAGGCGTGTCCTTATTTTTTTCTGCTGGTTCCAATTTTGTTGGAATGTCATGACTCATTAGGTTATTTTGTTTCTTTCAGAGATAACCTCGGAATGTATGCGGAAGTCTACCCGGCAAAATTCATTCTTGGTTACTGCTCAATATACATATTCATGCAGACATTTATGATTCCTGGGACAATTTTCATGTCCTTACTTGCTGGAGCACTTTTTGGCGTTTTCAGAGGGCTTCTCTTGGTTGTCTTTAATGCAACAGCTGGTGCATCGTCCTGCTATTTTCTGTCTAAATTGATCGGCAGGCCTATAGTTAACTGGATGTGGCCTGAAAAGTTGAGATTTTTCCAGGCAGAGGTCTGTAATCTTCTGAAAGTAATTACTAGTGATGTGCTACCTATTTCTACTATATTCATCATAGCTCTCAATTTGGTGCACACTAATGTGAAACTTTGTGGTTTCAGATAGCCAAGCGTCGGGATAAGTTGCTCAACTACATGCTTTTTTTGAGAATAACTCCAACATTGCCAAATCTTTTCATCAATTTGGCATCTCCTATTGTGGATATACCATTCCATATTTTCTTTTTGGCCACCGCAGTTGGTCTCATCCCAGCTGCTTATATTACAGTAAAGGTAAGTCTTTCTTCTGTTAGTAGTGGTTTCTATCTTCCATTTCTTTTTTTTTCTTCTTCCCCTCTTTCTCTTCAGTACTTTCTGTTCCTTGAAGTTGTTTAGACTATTGTGTCCCTGAAGAAATTATTGGTACGTTGACAAGAACTGCAACGTGGTTCTCCAGAAAGAGATTATTTTTATAGGAAGTATAAGATAAACTGTAATCCAATTGTTTGCTGGCAGGAGAGTTAGCTGCCATATGATAATTTGTGACATTTTATGGGAGTGAATGGGGTAGGGTTATCAAGAGTCTTGTTTGGTAATTCCCAAAATAGAAAACTATACTGGATGAATGAACTGAGAAATATAGGGCATAAAAATATGTCAAAATACTATTTAGTCGAATAATTTGGTTATTGATCCACGCGGCAGATCCCAGCTAGTGCAGCCAACTCAGCCTTGGGCAGGACTTGAGGCTGAGCTGGCACATTTTGGTTGAGATGATCTCAGATGCATCAAAATTGCTTGTGATGTACAACCCATTTCATTCTTTTGTATGACTGCAACCTCGTAAGCGCTACTTTCATTCTTCACATTGTCAGGCTGGCGTAGCACTTGGAGAACTGAAGTCTGTCAAAGATCTATATGATTTCAAGACGTTGTCTGTGCTTTTCCTCATTGGTGCTCTCATAATTTTACCAACTGTCTTGAAGAGGAAGCGAATATACGAATAGAGTTTTCGACCAGCAGATCACCTAAGGAACTTCAACATATGTATTACGACTTGACAGCAAATTGGAGAGGCAGGACCAAGGTACAGCCCTTCATTTTCCAGTATGGTGGAAAGGCAGTTTCATGTGATAACAGGTTTAATCAGGAGGGTTGATAAATGTTATATACTGCGTTCTACGCCCATTTTTTGTGTTAACCATTTACTCCCTGTCATTGGTTGAAGCCAAAGTGATAGAATATACTAGTACTATTTACTGCAATGCCAAAAGTAACGGACAGTAAATAGATTCTGATTGTAAGATGATAACATTTTCATTGCAATTACCTTCATAGTGGAACACGATGTTGTGAGACCTTATGAATTATTTTCGATAAATAGATCTATAAATTTGGTCAAATGCATGAAGCTGGGAAATGCAGCAACTGGTCAAGGAGCTCATTACATCCCTTTTATGCTCTAAAATGCTTGTTAAAGATTGTACTCAATTGCTTGTTTTATGGCTGTTCTATTATTATGATTACCATTATTATAAAAGATTTGAACAACTCCAAATGATTGAATCGTGAAGTGTTTGTGCTGTGTCGTACTATTTCCTGAGAATTCAAATATGGTTGTGATTTAGGCTAAAATCATTATTCTTAGATGATGCTTTCTCGTATAATAAGATAAAAATGAAGCTTTTTCTTAGGAATGTAAGTATTATGATCCACGTCATATTTTCTTAATTTGACACGGTGCAGTTAAAGAAGTAACCATTACTACAGCCCAATAGTTAAGCTTCACGAATCAGAGTTTGGAAAAAGTATATCTGAAAAACAAGTCATATATAAAGTTGGTAAAAATACATTATATACAAAACTCATGACTATGTGAGCTTCTGAATAACAAGAAGTAGAATTTGAAGGAAAAAAAAAACAAATGGACAAATTGGGTTTAAAATTTCTTTTTTTATATAATCAAGAATCTTTAAGCATAAAGTTGGAAATTAGGTGGACTCATTTTATCCTTTCCACTTAATACCAGGCTTGTGTTGCCCTCACCTACCATCACGATATAATTGGATTTTAAAATTTGAAGGAGCTATTATTACAAAATGAATAGCAATCTCCTATTGATCTTTGTCACTGGCTCCAAGGGCATCTGCCAGGTTGAAATTTAAATTGCCTCTCATTGTTCTGGCTGCCAGTCCTGTATTTCCCTTCTTCATCATAGTTGCAAATTCCCCATAATCTATGCGTCCATCCTGCCAAACCAACAAAAAAACATTATTGAGAATAAAACACATTTGTATGGGTCAGAATCCAACCCCGCGATAATTAACGAAGCTAATCCCGTCTCAAGCTAATTCGTGATTAGTTAGTGGTGCGATCACTCAGAATTAACGATATTCAACCCTTATCTGATTAGATCAACAAGGCCACGGCCCGTCCGTCATCATGAAGTCGAAACCCCAACGTTGTCACGGCCACTTACTGCCAGCTCACGAAGCTCACAGCTATAAATACCAAGAGATGAAACCCTAAAAAAGGGGCTGCTTCTCGGTCACTATCCGGGGGAGAGAGAAAAAATACAATGATACCCATATTGTGAGAGAGAAAAACACCATTGTAAGGCTCTGAACCTCTTCATGGAGAGGCAGGCCAAATCAACATTATCAATAAAGAATCTTAATGTTTCTCCTCCTAACTCTGAGTACTTATTTTCGTTTCCTTCATTTGGTCCAACGGATTATTACGGTTTGCTATGATTTT